CACAGGCAGCAGCTGGCTGGTGCTGGGCACCCCCTCCCAGGTGCCGGCCGGGGTGCCCTGCAGAGGCTCCTGGTCCACCATGTTCAGCAACTCGTCCTCGCCCGGCCCAGCTGCAGGGGAGGCCGTGACGGGAGCCAGCGCCGTGCTGTCCTCTGCCAGCACCCTGGGCCCTGTTGTCCACTCGGGGCCTGTGTCAGGGGGTGCTGGGTGCCCCCCGGCCGGGCTGGCAGGCACGGGCTGCAGCTGCTCATCCTCGGGCAGGGCTGGCCCCACCAGCCTGTGCAGGAGGCCGAAGTGATCCCGGGGCACCTCCCGGGAGTCCCCGGACGTGCTGAGGTCCTCCCGCTCCCGCGGGAACAGCTCGTTGTGGCCCGGAGAGGGCAGCTCCTCCTCGTGCTCCACCAGAAGGTTGTCCATGCCCAGCAGGTCGGGTGGCCTGGGGCTGCTCTGCCCCTCCAAGGCTGCCCTGCTCTCCGGTCTCTCCTGCACTGGCGCATCCTGCTTCTCCAGCCCCGGGGGCGGCTGCTGGTGTGCTGCGGAGACAGGAGCAGGAGCTGAGCCTGGATTGCTCCGGCGTGTGCCGGGGACCAGGCTCACATGCTGCCAGGGCCTGGCGTGGTGTCAGGGGAGCTGAGCAGGGAGGTGTCTAAAGGCCGGGGCAGGGAGATATGCGGCGGGGCGGGGGGCGTTGCAGAAGCCCCAGTGCCCTGTGAAACTCCCACCTGGAGCCCTGTGAGCTGTTTGGTCCTGAGACGCCCCCCTGCAAGGGGCCAAGGCAAGGCTAGGGGTGCCCCGGCATGCTGCCGGCCTGGCCACCCTCCAGGGCTGGTGTGTGCATGACCAGCCCCACACCCATGGCCCCAGCACCAGCAGGGCCCTCCTCCAGCTACGGCGCAGCCCCCTGCTCTCCTGGCATTCAGTGCCTCGAGACTGCTGGGATCCATGCCCCGGGGCTGGTGCCACACTTGGCTGCCCCCCAGCCCTGGCTCTGGCAGGGATCGGGGCACCCTCCCATGCTGACAGCTGCCCTTGCCCTGGCTGGGGCGAGGCTGCAGCAGCCCGAGGGGAGGTCTCCCCCGTGCACGTCCCCGCTGGAGGCCAAGGCACCAGCCCCGCGCCGCGGAGGGTGCGGGGAAGAGGCACGTCCCCCCATCCCTCCTCCCCTGGCTGCTGCGCCCTGACAGGTTTATTCATGGAGCAATCTGGGCCGCTCGCTCCGTGCCCAGCGCCCTCATTTATCTGATTAATTCCCCAATTAAATATTCATCCGAGGCAATTCTGCCGCCCGAGCCCATCGATCCCCACACAGCCCCAGGCGGCAACTCCGCCCGGGGTCTCCCCCTGCTTGAGGGAGGGGGGGGCGGGGGTTTCCAGGATTAAGAGGCAGGAACCAGCTGCCCGGACGGGTCTGGAGCCCCCAGGGTGGGGCTGAGCGTCATTCCTGTGCTCCAGCCACCCTTGTGGCCCCAGACAGAGCTAGCACCACCGGGCAGGGTGCAGAGACCCTCCTCTCTGTCCAGCATTGGTAACACGCTGACCGCCTCGTGCCAGGGGCACCCTCTTCCCTCATTACCCCTTTGCTTGGGGACCCTCATCCCTCCCCATTACCCCCTAGATCCATCCATGCCTCATGGAGCTGTGTGGAGCTGTCCCCAGGTTGCATCGCAGTGCGGAAAGGCCTGGGACTCCCCCCCAGCCCTCGCCACCCCCAGCCCACCCTGGTACCTCTGTAGCAGTAGGCGTCGAACTTGGAGGCCGGGTCGGGGAAGCCGGTGCGGTTGGGGAACTGGTACACGGTCCGCCCCCCCGGCTCGTCCCCGCCGCACTTCTTGCGTGGGATGCTGATGGGGTAGCGGACGCTGCCATCGGCCAGCCAGCCCGGGTCGCACTGGTCTAGCCCGCTCTGCCACGCCAGGTACAGCTGGCCCGTGGTGGCCAGCACAGCCCCGTGACTCTGGCACTGCTCCCGGGCCCCCTGGGCGGTGAGCTGCCCAGGCGTGGAGATGTAAAACACTTTCCCTGCAGGGGCGAGAGCAGCCCAGTGAGAGTGGGCCGACAGCCAGCGGGGTGCAGCAGGGGCTGGGTGGCCTGACTGCCGTCCAGCTGTTTCTGGGGTGGAACAGCAGCTTAGCAGCGCTTGGTACCAGCCCGTTGTGGGTGAGGTGGTTGGCAGGACCAAAGAAGTGGTTGGCAGGAGCAAAGAGGCGGTTGGCAGGAGCAAACCAGAAACCACGAGCAGGGCTGAGGGTTGGGTGGGAGCTCAGGCTTGGGAACACGTCAGGAACCTGCAGTGCTAGCGAGTGCTCGGAGACAGGCCTCTTCTCGTGGCAAAAGCCCCATCCAGCACCCACTACCATCCGGCTGTTCAACCACGGCCCCGCCGCTCCTGGGGTTTCTGCCCAGGCCCCGTGCAGACATGCATGCCTTGGCACTGCAGAGCGGAGCCGGGCCAGGGCCGGGAAGCCAAACCCGCTGCTCAAGG